TTTTTGTACTGGGGATCAAACTTGGGACCTTATACTTGCAAGGCAGGCAGCAGAACCACTGAGCTAAATCCCTGGCCCAATATTTTATAATTTTTCTTTAAACAACCACATCATCTTTTTAAGATATTTAATTAAATTGCAAAGCAAGCTCCTCTGTTTGTCTGTGTACTTAGCATGTCCAAGGCTCCTCACCCATCTGTGCAGATCCAGACTGCCAACTCATATATTTTCACATCTCACAGATTGTCAGGTGGGGACACTTGTTGGGTGATGGCCAGCCCAGGAGGGCTCTGTTCCCCTTCTGGAGACCTAGTGCTGCTCCACGTGACCACACCACATAACAGGTGACCTTGCCTCCCAGGGGGTAACTTTACCTCACAGTGAGGTGACCTTCCTCATAGGGAGTAATCTCAGAAGAGCCTTTCTCATGGGCCGGTCTGCATAAGGCCTGTACTGGGATGTTGCCAGGTATCCCTTGCCAAATATTATCTTGGTGAAGGCAAGTCTCACAGCCACTGGGGATCAAGGGCAAGGGAAGCAGACTCTACCTATGGTGGGTCCAGTGTGTGGACACCATCATGACGGCCTCTCACCACTGCCATCTGGGGAACCAGCATTGCTGGGGAGCTATGTTAAGTGGCCTGGCTATTTTTAAAGTGTTTTCATATCCCAGTCACCACTGTGTTGCTCATTTTCTTTCTCTTTATCTCCCATCACCTTGGGACAGCAGCCAGGCAGCTCATGCTCACAAGAACCCTTTGGTGATCCCCACAGCATGACTTCTTTGGCTGCCACCTCTGCCCAGGTGGCAACCACAGCTTTGGGCCTCAGGTATCCAGGGATCAGATCCCAGGGGACCCTTGCCACCAGTCTGCTTCTACATACACCATGTCCTTACTGAGGCCTCACCATGGGTGGCCTCCCCATCCCATCAAGAGCTCATGTGTCCCCAGGACACTGTCATCAGCACTGTGGAAGGGGTTGGTCACCTTAAACCAGACTGAGAATTCAGATTTCAGCTCAAGGACCTGCCTTGGGCATGCATGTGCCACCTTCCCTAGAGGCCTCTGTGCCTGAATTAGTGTGGCTGATGTCCCAGTCAGTGGGTGGGAGGTGTGCAGCATGGTCTTCAGTTAAAATAAGTATGTGGAGCTTGAATCCATTCTCCAGGAAAGAATTATAGCATTCCCTTTTGGATTAAAACCCACAATACATGGGGCCAGGGATTTAGCTCAGTGGTTCCACTGCCTGCCTCACAAGCGCAAGGTCCTGAGTTCAATCTCTGATACCAAATAAATAAATAAATAAATTTTTAAAACCCACAATACTGGGCCGGGGATTTAGCTCAGTGGTTCTACCGCCTGCCTCGAAAGCACAAGGTCCTGAGTTCAATCCCCGGTACCAAAAAAAAAAAACCCCACAATACAGAATCTGTATTTACAAAGATAGGAAAATAGTGGAGCAGGCTCTTCTGTCTTTTGACTTTTCTCTGCAGGGACAGGAAGAGGTGCTCTAACACCAGCACAGATATGTATCTCCCAGCGATGCTCCCCCTTCCAAATCATCACCCTTTCTGTTCTCATATCTTGCTGACTTTGGTTTGTCTCCTTTCAAATTTGTAAAATGTGACCCCATGTCTGGGCTATACATCCTGGGCTGTATATCCTGAGTGTGATGCATGTCACTGACCCGTAATGAGCCAGCGGTGTGCCTCCACTGAGCCACAGGTGCCAGAGCCCTCAGCTCTTGGCTTGTGTTTTACAGGGTGCAGTGTTGCCCCCTTCCACACACAGTTCACAGCCAGGCTTCAGTGCAGAGAGGAAGCTTTGTCCTTGTGTGCCAGTGTGAGCAGGCCAGGCCCCTTCATGGCCTGAATTGAAAGCACCTTCTCCATGTGGCTTTTGCTCCTCCTTGCGGCAGAACTTCTGCGCATTTAGGGTCACCTGGTGCTATCTATGACACTCTCACCCCCACCTCTCTGCCTGTGCTCAAGTCCCAGTCCCTTGAAAAAAACCTGTGTGGCCCTATGGAAGGCCTCTCCACCAGGAAGACAGAGGGACCTCAGGACCTTACTGAGCCCAGAGGTGGGCATGGTCCTCGGATATGTGCACCAGGCAACCCCGGGTCTCCTGGCAGTGGGAGCCATCCTGGGCTTCAGAGGCTGCTACCTTGCCACCTTCAGTCAGTGAGCTGCAAGCTTTCCCAGGGCCTGTGTTCCTTATTTGGACCTATCCTTTAGAGGCATGACTCCTTCAATTAAAGTGTGTAGTTTTTGCCTTTAAATGATGAAAATTTCATAACAGAGAAAAAAGAACTTGTTTTGGCTTCAAAACACCTCCTTCCCCTCAAAAATTCCCTGGCCCTTCTCAGACAGGCCAGATGGCTCTTCTGTGCAGGCCTCAGGGAGCCAGGAGGTGATAGAGCCAAGTGATGTTCCATCCCTGAAGCCCCCACCACCAGCATGGAGGCTCATGGTCTCTCTTGTCCCCACAGACACAGCCTGTGCCCAACCCCCTGTCCTACTTCCTGCACCGGTCACCCTGGTGGTTCCACCGCTTTGAGACACTCAGCAACCACGTCCTGGAGCTGCTGGTGCCCTTCCTTGTGTTCCTTGGGCGCCGCCTGTGCCTCCTCCATGGGGTGCTACAGATCTTCTTTCAGGTGAGTGCAGCCACTTGCCATGTACCCTGTCTCCATGTATCTGTAGAGGTGCCAATAACCTCATGGTTTCCCATCAACCCTTTCGCAGGGAGGACTGGGATAGACAGGCCAGGCTCCCAGCATGTCCAAGAGCGACCTCACCAGCTCCACCTCATCCCCTGGCTCTCTGTTTCCTCCCAAGAGCACAGGCCTGGGTTAGACACACCACAGCCCAATGCAGATGTCCCTACCTTGCTGCATCCAATCCCAGTTTCTCCTTAAGTTCCAGAAGTTTCCTGTCACATGTAGATGTCATTACCCTGGGAGTTGGGGTACTGAGAGGCCCATCTCATGCTGTCTCCTTGGGGACATGTGTTGTCATCGTCACAGTCTTCCCCAAGCTGCAGGCACCTGGCCCCACTCCTGCCCCCATCTACCCTGAGGCGCCTCCCTGGATCTCGATGACCGCAGGCCACTACACTTCTTATGACTTTTGGGATCCACTTATCAACAACTTCCAAGGAAATCACAGTTGCGATTTTTAAAAATTTGACTTACATGTTATTTTTATGGAGGTATAAGCTAAATGCAGTGAAATGTACAATATCAAGTGTATGGCATATTCTGATACCTGTGCCAGGTTCAGCAAAGCCATATCCCTGTGCCCTTCCTTCAGTCCCATCTCCACTATGACACTTGTCTGAGCCCCTTGTGCTGGCTGTCTCTGCCCTGGGCCACTTGTCCCCATGCTCAAGTCACTCCCCAGAAGGACAAGCTACCTCTAGCAAGGGCCACAGTGGGGAATCAAGCCTGTTGTAGACTCTGGGCTGTTCCATTTTTTTGCTACAAGCCTGTCATGGGCCCTGTATGCTCATCTGTCTGGAATCTACTCTCAAGGACACTGCTGGGCCATGGGGAGGTGTGTGCTTATTCCTATGAGAAACACCCTTTTCGCCAAGTGGTATATCCTTTTCTACCTCCTCCAGCAGAGCTGGGCCCCCATGGCTCTACATCCTCAATCCTGTTGTTACTACTGGTCGTTCCATGTCAGCTATGTCAGGGTGCAAATGGTGCCTCATGGGGTTTGTCTCCAGTGGCCATGGTGAGTCCATTGGAAAGAAGTGATGTAGTCACAGCTGTCTTTCCACACTGCAAACTTCTCCCCAGAGGGAGGTATGCCCTGCACCTTCATAGGTGTGTGATACCTGTATAATTCTATTTTATACATGCTTGGGCATATTTGTTCTGCGACACTTTATCTTTGTTGGTATTGTAAGGGGACATCTTTTTTACCTACAGTTTCTTCCCCTTTGTCACTGTAGTTGTATTGTAGGTGTGCTGTCAGCCTTCAGAATGGGTCTTCTCAAGTGACTTCCCTGCACTAAGTGACAGTCACCATGTGTGTGGCTCTCTGATGATACTGTTGTGAACAGCAGGTGTCCCTTGTCATTTTGTGGCTTCTGCTCCCACCTTTCTCCCTTGCTGTGCAGGATCATATGCTGTGCACTATAGTGGTAGCCTTGTCTCCACTGGGGGAGTGGAGTCATGCAGGTTTTGGAGCCACCAGTGTCATGTTGTCTCTCCCTCTGGTCTATAAGGGAGTTCTGTTTCATGGTTCTGGTTTTTGTTTTGTGGTCAGGACTGGACACAGAGTTTGGTAGATGTGTTCCCTATCAGTTATGCAAGGGTCCCCTGGGTTTCTTCCCTGATTTCCTAATGTGGTAAGTTATGTTACTCCTGCTATTGTCGCGCCAGCTTATGTTCCTACAATAAACCCAGCTTGGTCATGCTATGTAAATTTTAATATATTACTGGGCCCAATTCACCAATGTTTTGTTTTGGATTTGTCATGGCTGTCAGCAAATGAAGCCTGTCTGGTTTTCCCTCCTAACTCTGCCACATGGATTTGCTGTCTGTGGTGTCATCCTCCCTGCACAAATGAGGACAGCCTCACTCTCTGAGTGCTCATAGAGATAGATGCAGGTGGTCTGTTTCTCTAACCCAGACAACACCAGGCATGGGTTCTTTGCACACATTCCTCAATTCAGTGGTTATGCACTGACCTAGCTGGGGGGCAGAGAGTGCCCATCCTCCATCTGAAGCCCTTGGCCTTGTTCCAGAAAGCCCAGCCCAGTGGCCTCCTCACTATACCTCAGAGGTCCAGGTGTGTCCCTGTCATCCTCTCTAGCCCATGCTATATTCAGGATAAGACAGAGATGCCTGGGGCTATGACTCCTCTCTGGGGCCTAGTCTGACATCACCCAGGTAGGGTGGGGTCTTTGACTGGGGACTGGCAGGGCACAGCTTGTGTCATCCCAAGAGGAGGTGCCCAGAGACAGTTTGGAGACAACATATTGTGGGGTTGGGGATGACTGTGCATTCTGAAATACGGGTATCCTGGCAAGGATATAACTTCCGCAGCATCCTTCCTCTGGGAGGGATAGGGTGCAAGCAGGTCACCTCCTCCCACACTGAGTTTATACAGCTGCTTCAGAGGGTTCTGCAAGGACACAGGGTCCACCAGCTTCTTGGAGAAGTGCACGTGGGAGGGGACAGAGGAGCATGGTACCCCAGCTCCGAGGTCATCATTGGCATCCACCACAGACCACCACAGACATCTGCAGCCCACTGGGGCATCAGGAGGAGGCAGGCTGGACCTGAGATTCTGCCAGAGGCTGTGAGGGAAGGGAGGGGACCTTGGAGAGGCAGCGTTTGAGAGACACCCCCCTACCCCATGGCTGCTCTGATTCCGCGACTAGTGCATCTAGAGACAAAGGCCTGCGAGGCACCATCAGCCCCCACAGTCCAGCCAGGCCTGGGGCCAGGTCCCAGCAGCAGCCCCATACCCAGAGCTGAGCATGTGTGCTCCCATTCTTTTGAATGTGGTGAAATAACAGCAACAACAAAAATCTACCATTTTAAACTATGACCTAGCAGTGCTAAGCACATTCTCAGTGTTGTGCAGCCAGTACGCCTGATCCTAGGACTTCTATACCACAGCACAAGCAGGACCCAACCCTCCTCGCCACTGGCTGAGATCTGCTCTGTCCCGCAGATCTGCCCCATCTACATGTTTGTGCAAACAGAATCACACAATGTGTGCCTTTATGCCCCTTTCAGTGAGCACAAGTGCCTGAAGCTTGTCTATGTCACCACATGTGTGGGGTCTGATTCCCTTTTAAGGCTGAGTGACATGGCCCTGCATGGACATGTGGCTTTCGATCAGCTGTTCCTGGACTTTAAACTCGTGTGACATCTCAAACCAGATTCCTCTTCTGTGTGTCTTGCCATGTGCTTCTGCTTTTCTTGATTGCTGCGTGGTGCTGATTCGAGTCCTGGTTCATGGTCACAGGGGTAACCCCCATGGGTACATGCGTGTGCCTTGTGGGAAGTCCCCATGAGCACCTTATCCCTTGTGGGAGATCCCTGTGAGCACCTGAGCATCCTCTGTGGAAGCTGCTAGTGTTCTCTCTGGTAACTGTGAGCTCCACAAGGACACCCCCAAACCTACCCCTTCCTTTTGAGGTCATGTTGCTTGGCCCCAGAACATTTGCTGTGTCCCCTGGGCCCAGGGTCACTACTTCTTGTTCCTCCCCTGCCCCCAGCACTTCGAAGGCCTCACCACAGTCCTCTGCAGAGCACACTGTAGGCTCATTTGGGGCTCTGCGGCCCTCGGTAAACACAGATGGGCTGTGATGAGATTCATGTCCCTCCAAGGAGATGGGCTGCAGGGACACAAAAAAGAAAACAAGAAAGATAAGATCCCCTCAGAGCACTCAGGCTGCTCTACACAAAATTCCATCCTTCTTACTAAAGAAACAGCCAGATTTGGGCGGGGAGGGGGGGGGCGGCGCAGCTTTACTAGTCCAGGATGGACTAGTGTGAGCCTGATCTGGGATCTGAGCACAGTCAGATCTGTCTACCTCTGTCAGCAGACAGTGTCACAGGGGCTTTCCACAGACCACTGTTAGAAGCAGGATTTCACTTCATACCATGCTCTGTGGGGCTAGTTCTCTGAGCGTGGGGTCCCCACTTGAACTCTCATTAGAATGGCCCTAGGTAGGGAGTCTTTTGAAATAAGCTCAGGCTGCCACCCCCACCCACCCCCCACACATGCACAATAAGGTCAGGAATCTGAAGGGCCAAGGTGGGGAGATATGGGTGTTGCTCAGAGCTCCCCAGGTAGTTCTGACACGTGGCCAGGGCAGAGCAACCCCCAGGAGACCAGAGTGTCTCCAGACTGTGCAGTGGGACAGCATGGACATGGGTTTGCTGATGTGAAAGCATCTATGAGAATCTCCAGGAAGAAAGGTTGGGCTGCTCGGTGTACACATCCGTAGGCCACAGTTTCCATCCCAGCCCCAGTGGACGTAGGGGCAGCTGCATGTTTGTGACAGATGTGGACAAGCACCTCAGCTTCCCATCCTTCCTCTGACAAGTGGCTGACACTCATGCTTTGAAGCCTGGAGGGACAATGACAGAGAGCAGCCCGCCAAGGCTGAGGTCAGCTGGGAGACACAGAGTAGCCTCTGGGTGCACTCAGAGTCACCATCTGCCAAGATGACAGCCCACATGGACAGCCACACCAGCAGCACTTTGGGGACACAATGCAGGCCTCCTGGACACACTGGAGCTGTAGGGCTATGGCTCCCTAATGCTCATATTCAGGCTACTATCTGCAAGCTGGAGGCCAGGAAAGCCAGTGGTATCATTCTAGTCCAAATTCCAAGATTCAAGAACCAGGGGGCCCACTCCAAGGGCAGGAGATGGCCATACCAGCTCATGCAAAGAACAGATTTGCCCTCCCCTACCTTTTCTCTTCATGCCCTTCCATTGCCTTCTCCATGCCTCATTACTGCTCTGCTGTCCACAGTTCCTTGTCCTCACACCTCTCTGTGGTGTTTTCCCTTCTGGCTGCTTTTTAAGACCTTCTCTCTCCCTCCTTGGTTTTGAGGAGTTGGATTAGGATGTGTTTTGTATTCTTTTCTTTGAGTCTATCCTAGCTGTGATTTCCTAGGCTTCTTTATCTGTGCTGTTATTGCTTTCATTAAATTAGGGAAATTTGGGGCCTATTTCTTCATGTTTTGTTCTGCCACTCTTTTCCATTGCTCCAGACATTTTTGTGTGTGTGTGTGTGTGTGTACTGGGGTTCAGAACTCGGGTCCTTGCGCTTCTGCAGCAGGCAGCAAAACCACTGAGCTACATCCCCGGCCCTCTTCTGCCACTCTTAAACTACATGTAGACTAGACCCTGCATGCACATCCCAGCTGCAGCCTGGCATGCTTTGCTTCAGCCCATGACACTCACTGCCCTGCACTCAGTTGCTCATGGTATCCGCATAAGTATTGCTGTTGTTCCAGTGTTTATCCAGGAAGTTTCTCACCTTACAGGTCACCTTATTACCTCTGGAATCACTGCTGCTCCTTCTTTATTGTTCTCATTTTCTCTTAAATTTAAAAGAAAACACAGTTGCAGTTTTGAAGCATTTGCAATAGCTATTTTAACATTCTTACATACTTGCTTGCTTCTGATTCTGATTCTGTTGGCTTTCCCCCTCCTGATTGTGGATCACATTTGCAACAGTGTGTCTGGATGTGGCCAATGCGGCAACAGCACTGTCTCTGTCATTCCTCGGGTGCTGTCTTCAGGTTCCCATGGGCAAGTTCACGGAGGCCTTGACCCAAATGGTTGTTTAGGCCCACTCACAATCCCTGGTGTTTCTTGAGTGTCTGTTGTGTGCCTGTTTTTCAGCTGATCTGTGCCCTTGGGTCATTAGAATCCTAGAGTCTGCTCACTTGGTCCCACTCAGCGACCCGCTCCCCTGCTCCTGTCCCTTCCCTGACTTGAGGCCCAGCCCATGACTGAAAGACATTCCTGCCCATGCATCCTGGCTCCTCTGCTCCCTCATCCTCTGCCTTCTAGCCTGCCCTCTTTGTGCCAGGTCTGGGACATGCTCTACTCCCCTCTCAGACATTGATGTCCCACAGCACACACAGACAAGTATTTCGGGATAGTTTTCCTGTCTGTTTGGTGTCCAGCAGTTTGTACTGGCCCTTGAGGTTCCTTCTCCTCATGCTGACCATGACTGCTCTCCCTAACCTGGAGCAGAAACCACAGGCACAGCGTTCATCCTGAGCTCATCAGCCCCACACTGTGAAACCACAGCAGTGCTGGGGATCACTGGGCTCTGAGTCTCAGAGGGAGTGGCAGTCTTCCAGAGGTGGCTTCTCTGTGTATGAAGTCCTAGAGAATGGTGCCCCTTCTCCAGTTGGCTGTACCCAGTGGAGGTGGGACACACACCCTGGGAGGTCCAATCCTAAGGTGTTTCTGTGAAGCAGACCAGGCTGAGATATTAAGGAAAACTATCCCTTAGTCTCCTTCCATCCCTGTCCCCATTGTGCAGATGTTTAAAGAAGACAGTAAGGATGTAGCTGGGCTGTGGGGTAGATACTGGGCCATGTTGCGCAGGTCAGTGTGCCATGGTGGCCAGCAGTGGTTGAATCCTGCTGTTCCTGAGGATTGTGTCACTGGACTGATACTGTGTGCACCTCTCGATCACCCTGGAGCCTTGGCAGGGCCACATGTCATTTCTGGGGGCCACAGAGTCCAAGGGAGGCTCTTGCTGATGTAAGCAAGTGGGTACAGTTGGGACAGTCCCAAGCGACCCCTCCTGCTGGGTGCTCTGAACACTGGCCCCTGTGGGACTCACTCTGGTGAGGCCTGGGACCATCAGGTCCTCACAGGCAGCCCTGACCCCTGGCCCAAGAGATGTCCATTCTGGTCTCAGCATCTTCTGGGTCAGAGCAGGGAGAGCAGCTGAAACTATGTGAGTTCTGTCACCAGCCCTGAGGAGGGAAAGTCACAGGTAGGATCCACACTGGGAACCTCCAGGTATCTAGTTATGTTTGATCTGCTGCTCTTGGATGGGCAAAGGGAGCTGCTTCACTCCCAGCTGCGGGGACCACGCTCAGGTCAGCCACAGGGGTAGTGTAAGAGACCAGAACTGGTGCAGCTGCTGGGAACAGATGCAGGATGCTCAGCTGTCCTCACAGGAGCCCCAGAACCCCTCCAAAGCACCCCAAAGGGCTCTGCCCAAGGTCAGACCATCATCTAGCCCTTCATCCACCCCATGTACAAGGATGTTCAGGCCCCAAACCCCTCCACTGTCACAGCAGCAGCCCACAACATAGGGCCACTCCCTGGGCCTGCATCTGATCTGGGTCCAGTGGCCTCGGCAAACTACAAGAGTGGCCTACATCCACCCAGCACATCTACCCAGGCAGTTCCTTCCAGGCTGGGGCCAATAGGCTTGGGGCCCTGGTCAGGCAAGAGACTGGGCAGCATTATATATAGTGAAGAACAAGAGTTATTTTGTGGTTCAGAAATTAGCTCAGGGAGAGTCCTGAACCCGCACTTCATAAACCACCAGTATAATCCACAAAACTGACAGCTGAATACCAGCCCCAACACACAGATCCCCTCACTGGACATTAGCATCCATGACCTTGAACTCCCTGCTCCTTGGATGGGCTATAATTAAAGTACAAGCTGTGAGCCAAGGCCAGCCCACTCCCGCCAACATGGACTCAACCATGCTGTTTTTGGCCAGCAGAATGTGACCAGGGCTGTCCTAGGGTTGACATCCCTGCTTCCACCTGCCAGGAACAAGGAAGCTGATTTCTGTAGCTCTAGGGTCCACCCACCACCCCCATGACAGCCACTCTAGTTCCCGTCCTTTCCTCCTCTGTGCTTATCTTTTCCCTTCCACTTGGCCCACATAGCTCAGTCAGCCCTGCACATTTTCTTCTAACTCTGGGAATTTCTATCCACCTCTGTTACCCCTCTCCTTCACCTGGGAGCCCCTTCAACTCCAAATCTGTTCTTTTTGGGCTGTCCTGGACCTGAGCAGGGAGCCCAGCTATTCTACTCCTCCACTACTGAGTGAAGGTAGCTGCTAAACCAGCTCTGTCCACAGGGAGGAGGGCTTCTGAAGCTCAACCCCTACTGCATCTCCACCCCCATCCCCAGAAGCTCACAGGAAGTGGACCTGGAGCTCTTAGGACAGTTGTGGCAAACCTATGGCTTGCATGCTGCACTGGACTGTGTTATCATCGAAAACTCTAAAAGGTTCACCATCATTGTCTTAGGAGAACAGCCTTGGGTAGGCAGCTTCCTAGATGGGACACACACACACACACACACACACACACACACACACACACACACACTGTAAAACATAAAAGTTGATAAACTGTACTTTGTTGAACATTTAAAACCAGATGCCAAAAAGGTGAGCCATGAGTCTGCAAAACAACTATCATAGCATGCACAGGTCTGACAGGATGTAAGAAGAACATCCTGTCATCTTGTGGCTCAGCCACAAGACACTTACTTGTTCTCTTAGAGGAAAAGACTTGAACAGCACCTCCCAAGACTATGTATGGATGCACCTGGACTCAGAGCAGCTTTGGCATCAGCTTTTGCTCCAGTCTTCAGGCCACCAATGTCAAGATGCTGGTGATGCCACATGTTGGTGAGGCACGACCATAGCTCTCATGCCAAACTGTGGAGATTGAAGCCTTGCTGCCACTTGGACAGTATTTTGTTTTTTTGGTACTGGGAATCAAACTCTGGCCCTTGCGCTTACTAGGCAGGCGGCGGAACTGCTGAGCTAAATCCCCAGCCCTGCTGCCACTTTGAAAAGCAGTTTCCTCACCAGTTCAGCCTGTGCCTGCTTCTCAGACCATCCAGCCACCCTGTCCTGCACATCCTCAGGGACTCAGCCATGTCTATCTAGGAGAAGGGACAGAACCTGGAACCCCACCCAGGGGTGAACAGGACCCCACCCCTCACTCTCCCACAGGGGCACTCACTATACCCTGCTAAACAGAGGAAGCCACTGTGGTACTCCTTTTCTGAAAAGCTCAAGAAAGGCCAGACAGCAGCAGGACAGGGTGCCTAGAGTGTGTCCTATGCACAGTTATAAACATTTGTCAGAAACCAACAAACTGCACACTTAAAATGGGTTTGTTTTCCTGTTGATATCAGTGTAGTCAATTTAAAAGTGAAGGCTGAGACTGTCCACAAACTTTGGTCCAGCTGCAACTTCCATCCCTTCTTAGGCCTTGAGGGCACCCACAGTGGTCACTGTGCTATCTCCCGTAACCCTTAAACTCCAAGAATCCTGTGTCCCATGAGCTTAGTTTCAGGGGCCTCATGTCTGAAAACCCCAGGAGAGAAGACTCTGGCCCATCCTCAGTCCTGCTTTGCAAGAGCAGGGCTGGATGGGGCACAAGCCATGCCCCACAGCCCTGCCTCACCCTTGGGACCATCCCTAGGTGGTCCTTATCCTCAGCGGGAACCTAAGCTTTCTGAACTGGCTGACCATCATACCTAGCCTCTCCTGCTTTGATGATGCCACACTGGGATTCCTGTTCCCTTCAGGGCCAGGCGGCCTGAAGGATCGAGTTCTGCGGATACAGAAGGAGGAAGCTGGAGGGGCCCAGCCTAAGTCAAGATATGGTAGGTGACCCTATCCCTAACTCCTTCCACATGTCAGGGGTGGGGAGGTGTCTGCTGTGTGGGGACCCTGTGACCTCAGTCTTGGCTGGGGCTGAGGGGTAGTTGGAGTGCACCCGGCCATGAAAACTCACCCCCACCCATCGCTAGGCTGCTTGGTGAGGCGTGTGGCCAACCTCTCGCTGGGCATCCTGCTGGCTTGGCTCAGTGTGCCTGTGGTCATCAACCTCCTGAGCTCCAGGCAGGTCATGAACACCTCCTTCAGTCCACTTCGGATCGTCAACACCTACGGGGCCTTTGGAAGGTACGGGGAGAGTCCCCAGGGAATACTTGGCTTTGTCCACATGCCTGGTGCTCTGATCCTCAGCCAAACATGTCACCTGCCACCACCCTAGCACTGCAGGGAGAAGCAGAGCTCACACCTCATCTGTGACATGGATGTGCCTTATTCTCCCCACAGCATCACCAAGGAGCGGACAGAGGTGATCCTGCAGGGCACAGCCAGTACCAATGCCAGTGCCCCTGATGCCTTGTGGGAGGACTATGAGTTCAAGTGCAAACCAGGAGACCCCTGGAGGCGGCCATGCCTGATCTCCCCCTACCACTACCGCCTGGATTGGCTCATGTGGTTTGCAGCCTTCCAGGTAAGGATGTTCCACCACCAGCTCCCTGGCCTCTCATATGGCAGGGACAGTGAGTATAGAGGCTCCCCAAAATGGCTACCCAGGGGAAGTTGTGTCCCACCTAAGGTGATAACCAGGCCTGGCCACACAACCCTCAATCTTTGGTGTGGGCATGCAGGTGGGTGTTGGTACCAGCTCCAGGACAGAGCCTCTATTCTTGTCCTATCACTGAGCCTATAGGGCAATGCCCAGGAGGATATAGCCTCAGAGGGTAAGGCCAGGCCAGGCCAGGCAGGGCTGAAGTAGCCAGGACAGTGCCTGCCTTGGACACACCGGTGAGGCTGGGTATCCAGGCATATGATGACTGATCCTTGCACACCAAGCTGGTGGGAAGTGGGGAGCCAAGTCTGTGGTACATGTCCTCAAGAGAATCCAAATCCCCACACTCCAGCCAAGCTGTAAAGAACTCAGGGTGGCAGGCAGATGGCAGGTGACAGGGCAGGGCCATGGGAGGGATACATGGCCTCATACACCCTGTCCCCCAGACCTATGAGCAAAACGAGTGGATCCTGCACCTGGCTGGCAAGCTCCTGGCCAACGATGCTGAAGCCCTGTCCCTGCTGGCCCTCAACCCCTTTGAGGGCCATGCACCCCCCAGGTAAGACCTCCAAGGGCCCCTTTCACCCTGTGCAAAGGTCCACAGGTCCCATGTTCCCCATACCCACTCCCCACATAGCATCTTCTCCCACCATCTGCAGCAGGAGGCTTCAGGGAGCAAGGCCTACCAAGAGTGCTACTAGCCTGTGGGTCCCTCCACCCACTGATCATCCATTCTGTGGCCCACCCAAGTCACACCTGCCATCACCAAGAGGAGCCAGGGATAGCTGTTCTGGAACCCCTCACTGATGTCCCCAGGGCTCACCACAAGTGGTCAGAGGCTCCATTTCACAGCCACACACATGAGTTGCACACCAGTGTAGAGGGGGACCCTTGGGGTACTGCTCTCTGTAACCAGCCTTCGGAGGTACAGGTGGTTTGGGGGGTGGAGGGTGGGCTTAGGCTCCAAGGCAGTCTGGCAGCCCAAGCAAGGTTGGGATGACTTGGTAACATCCAGGGAGCAGGCCATGTGGAGTGAAGCACTCTCAGGAGCTAAAAGGGTGGCACTGGGGTGGAAATGGGTTGATGGTCCTAGCCAGACTCTTGCACAGGAGCTATGGGGGAGTAAGGATTGAGGTCCCTGGGGACTGTAGTACATGAGTAGCACATGGTACGGCCAGGCACAGGATTGATTCTGGGGCCTGAATCCTCACAGAAGTAGCAACCATGTGGAATGCTGTGCCCCACATAAGGAGGTGTGGCTGTGGGACTGTAAGCATGGATGGGAGGGTGCAGGGCAGGGTGTAGGTGGCAGGGGTCCCTGGTGGCCTTCTCCCTAGACTGAGGACTGGGTGTTCTAATGTGTTGTATAGATTGAGTGGCCACCGCAGACTGAGGACAGCATGGGCCTGAGCTAGCCTGGTCCCTCCCATGGTCATTGATTCTGACAGTAAACACGTTCCTATTTCTCCCTTCAGCCAGCTCAGGGCAGCTGCAGCTCAGAACTACCCACAGCTGTGAGGCCCGGGTAGACAGGGACTGCAAGGCTGCCGAGCAGCTGCACTAGCCTGGCAGGCACCCCAGCCATATGAGCTGCTGAGTCCCCTCCCCATCCTGTGCTGCCATGGAGCTATGGGGCTGGGGCTAGGTCTCTACAGGCCAGTGCCCACCCCCAGAGTCTCCATACTCCCCTGGGCATGATGAGAGCACAGGCTCCCACTTGGCGTGACCACCCCCATACTCCCTTCTGTGAACTAGCATAAAGGCCTTGCTGATCTGCCTGCCCTGTGGCCCCTGCAGACCAGAGAGGCTCAGTCCTGTGGGGCAGACTGCCACCTGGTCCCCAAGCTATATCCTTGCAGACTCCAAGCAGGTTTTGTCTGTGACTATCCTGGTCCCAGCTGCCAGGTCGGGGGCACCAGGCCCTGGCCAGGCTCCTGCTACTCCTCTCAGGACAGAGCCTCTGGACCAGACCCTCGGCCCAGCAGGGCTGTGCGGGACCTCTGGGCCACCCTGGTCTTCTGGAGCTGGCTCTAGAGGGGTTTGCAGCCATGAAAGGAAGGGGAAGCCTTTCCCTGGCAAAGTGAATGGATTGGACCATCAGATTCTCAGCCCAGAGGCACTAACCAGTTTAGGTGCACTTTGTGAAAACCAAATCTCGCCAAAAGGATGGACTATGGAAAACTGAGATGCAAAAACCAGTTCATCTTTTATGAGAAGGAATAGTGACCTAATACTTAGAGGAAACATTTGAAGCAGCCAAAATATTTAAAATTAACACAGAGCATGTGACTCTCTGCTTGGCAGCTGGAGCAAGACCACATCTTGATGTCCCTGACCACAGCCTGGCCCCTGACTGTGAGCATTGACCATGGGCCTGACTACGTTTATTTTATCTGTGACTTTGTAAAATGGGTAAGCTGAGCCTTCCACTGTGAGAAGATGTCCAGAGAGAACATGTTTTCCTGTCCCCCTACTGACATGCAGCAGCTCTGAACACTACACATGAAGCAAACCCAAGTGGCTCTAAGAGGTGGCTCAAAGAAGCTACCAGCAAGGGACCTCAGGACCCAGCAACAGCCCCAAAAGGAGGTGAATTCTGGTCTTCCTTCTACCTCACTTCCTAGAGACAAAGTAACAGCAATTTGGAAATGCCAACAGACATCATCGATATGCCCAAGGAGAGCTGCTCCCTATGTCTGTGGAGCAACCAGGAAGGCATGGGAATGATGGCCTGGCTCCAGAAAGGCAGGTGGGAAGCCAGACCCCTGCAGGGGGCCTGGATGCTCTTACCCCAGTGGGCAGGGACATGAGGACCTCAAGTTCCACTCCCACTCAGCAGTGCTGAGTGCTCTCCTCCCTGGGGTTGGTGTGAGGTGATGCCAGGAAGACAGAACCCACACCTCCTGTAGCCACCAGGACACCCTCGTGTCAGCTAGATGCAGCCCCCCAACCAACAGCGAAGCTGTGCCCCCTCTCCTGACACTATCAGAAGCAGGCACCTAAAACAAGAGGATCAAGTAAGAACCAGGATCTGAGGACATCCAAAATATTCAGTTTTCAAATAAAAAGCTACTTATCACACTAAAAACCCAGAAGGTATTAAACTGAACGAGAGACAAGATAGTTAATAGGTGACAACACTAAGGAAACACAGACCAGTTATGACACAGATATCCTAAAGCAGCTGCTACAGAAGTGATTTAATAAGGAGTTATGAGATACAACAGTCAACAAAGAAACAAAAAATATGAGGAAAAACCTCATGAAAGTTTAGAACTGAGAAATACAGTAACTGAAGCAAACCGCTGGAGGGGGAGGCCTAGCATCAGGAGAGGACAAGGACCAGGGATTTAGCTCAGTGGTTCCGCCACCTGCCTCACAAGCACAAGGTCCCGAGTTCGATCCCTGGTACCAAAAAAAAAAAAAAAAGACGAAGAAGAAGGGAGAGCACAGAGGGAAGAATTGGTGATCTGGAAGTCAGGAAATGCCAGTTGCCCCACTCAGAGCACCAGGAGCCATGGGCCATTTCATCAGGGTCCCTCAAGGACAAGAATTCTTGGGTCAACAGGCACTTGGAGAACTAATGACCAAAGAGGAACAAACTATACAATCAGTAAACTAAGTGAACTCAGTTAAGTTCAGACCAAAACACACCAAGGTTAGACTTCTGAAAACTGAGGACGGCAAGGAAGTTGTGGAGTCAGCCAGAGACACTACCTTGCCTGTAGAGGAGGCAGTCAGTGACACTGAGGAGCCCACTGGCCAGTGCACAGCCTCTTCCAGATGCCATCCAGAGCCTCCCCTGTAGAATGGGAAATTGAGGCACTCTCAGATGAAGGAAAGATGGAGATGCTGTTGCCAGGATGGCCTCCCTAAAAGAACAACTAGAGCAAGCTCTCTTGACAGAAAGCAGGAAGTGGACAAAGCAAATTGCAAGCATTGAGGGAAGAAGCCAGACCACAGGGAGTCGATGATGCTTCTCCTCCCATTCTCAGTCATGCTTGGTAGCTAGGTGGGGAATATGACACAGCCTCTGGAGGACATAATTAGGATAGCTCCGCTATGGATGGCAGAGGGCAGGTGGACATAGGGAGGAAAGTCTGTACTTGAACTGACCTAGGGCTCCAGCAGTCTGTAAGGCACATGTATAGAACGCATCAAGAGCAGCCACCAAAAACCCCAAACCATATGAAGATATACACTTAAAGACACTATTGGCAAATCAAAAGAAGATTCTAAAAAATATTTCTGTAACTCATAATGAGGCAGGGGGCAGCCAAAGACATTAAAACTCACAATAGCCAGATGCAGTGGTATACACCTATAGTCACAGCTACTCAGGAGGCTGAAGGCAGGAGTACCATTTGAGCAAGAAGTTAAGGCAAGCCTGAGGGACACTGGAAGAATCTGTCTCTTGAAAGATAGAAAAAAAAAGGTAAAGAAAAAGGAAAGCAATAAAGGGAGGGAGGAAGAAAAGATTAAAAAACAAAAAATAAATAAACCAATGGACTTAAATCCTAACATAAATAGTTACATTAAATATAAACTGTCTAAATTACCAATTAAAAATAAGGATTGGCAGAGTTGATTAAAAAGCATGGCCCAGCCAAGTGTGGTGGCACATGCCTTGTAATCCCAGCACTCAGGAGGCTGAGGCAGGAGGATCCCCACGAATTCAAGGCCAGCCTGGGCTCTATAGTGAGTACAAGGCCAGCCTGAACTACATACCGAGACTCTGTCATGAAAAAAAAAATCATGACCCAACCGTGTGACGTATATAAGAAATTCACCCCAAACATGACAGCATGGGCAAGCTGAGGACAAATGGGTGGGAAAAGATATGTTTCATATATGTTAATGCAAAGCAGGAGTGACAGGTTAGATTCAGATGGACTTCGGAGACAAAGATGGGCAGCCCCGAAAGATGGGAGGGTCAACTCACCAAGGAGGCAGCAACCCTGAGAGCATGTGTGCCAAGTACAGGGCCTCACAGTGTGTGGAGAAAACTGCACAGGGCTGAAGGAAAAATGGAGGCATCCAGCATCCCCGTTGCACTCCTGAGCACTCTTCCTGCAACAGCTAGCCAAACAACTGGGTGACACCAGCAAGCAATGGGACCTAATCAACATGACACAATATGCCACCCATTGAACTGAACAAAAATACATGTCAGAATATGTGGCGCGAAGCTAAAACAGCGAGAAGGAGCACTAAATGGCTCTGCTGGAAAAGAAGGCAGACCTCAAATCCATGACCTAAGCCCAGGATTCCATCTAGAACTAGAAAAAGAACAGACGTCACCATGCACCCATTAGAATGCCAGCAAGACAAAACCTCAGCAGTGCCCAGTGCTGGCAAAGATGCCCAGAGACCAGACACACAACCTGTGGGGAGGCACAGCTGCTCTGTAGAACTACCTGGCAATGCCTAGAGAAGAAACCCTGCAGCCACCACGCAACCCAGTGATGCCATCCTTGGACACTTGGCCCAGAGAAGCAGATTTGTGCAAAACCTGCCTGCAAACGTTCATAGAGTTTTAATAGCCTGAAGCTGGAAAGAACCCAGGTTCCTTTCTCAGGCAAGTGACCACCCCTTGGGGTACATCTCATCGGCATTAGGAGGACAAAGTATCAGTGAACCTGAAGAGAGTAGATTGCAGGGTGAGGTGCTGGGCGGCAACGGGTCCTGGGATCTTATACTAGTTCTGTGAGATGTTGCCCAAAGTCGGATTTTAGGTGTGCTAGAAGACCTACTTTGTTCAGGCTCTGGAACCTTCCAGGCAGTGTCATAGCCCTCCTGGCCACCCCCACTGACCTGTCAGTGCACACAAGAAGCCCACATCTCCTTCCACCCCAGCCCTGGTTGTCACTGAAGGGTGTTCATCCCCCTCAGGGACCAGCCACACCACCCCTGCAGAGGATGAGGCAAGAAAGAGAATCCAGGAAAGGTGGAGCAATCCCATGAGAGGAGCCTTCTTAGGGGCTGCACATTCAATGTGACTAGCCTTGCCCTCTGGCTCCACATTCAGCGAGACTCTGCCTAGCACTGACCAGTCCCCACTCCCATGTTGACTCCACCAGTCCACACAGCCCTGGGCCAGATGTCAAGGAAGAGCCTATGAGCAGCCATGTGGTGACCAATGGTCACAGCAGAGAGAGCCTTCCTTGGCCAGGCCACCCTCCACCCTGGGGACCTTCGTGTTTGGATTCTGACTCAGATAGATGGTGGGATTATCACCTCACTTGGACAGCAACTTTGAGACCCACAGTCACCACCTCCCCTCCCTGTCCCCATTGAGGACCTGGGCACGGCCACCCTGCCCACACCCAGGCAGGGAGAGTAGAGTGGCACCCAGGGGTCCCTCAGAACTCCAGGCACACAGCATGTGCCATCTTTGAAACGTGCCTATTTCATATCTAAACCTGACAACGGGTAGAGAATGTGAATTTGAAGCTGTTGTCCTAGTCAGGGTCTTCCCAAGTTGAGTTGAGGAGTGGGATCTGGGGCCTCTGTCGGCTCCATCCATGGTGGCCTGGGTAGGCAGGAACTCAGGGTCCTGGGCTAGGGTCCCTGTGAAATGCACTCACCTTGAGTGAGGAGCTCAGGCCCCTGGAGAAGCTGCATCTCAGCGCAAGGTGGGCAGGGCACCTGCACCCCAGGCTGAAATGCTGCCGCCCCACAGGTGGGTCCGTGGAGAGCACTGGAGATACCGGTTCAGCCGCCCCGGAGGCAAGCACGCCTCAGAAGGCAAGTGGTGGGCACGAAAGAGGATCGGCCCCTACTTTCCCCCACTGCGCTTGGAGGACCTGAAAGACTACTTCCAGGCCCGGGGGTGGCCCCTGGCAGAACCCATGTAGCCTTCCTCCCCCCAATAAAGGTTGGAGCCAGCATTCTGTTCATGGAGCCCCACCATGGCATCGCCACCCAGAAGAAGGTGTCCCTGTCACCTCGCTCTTCCCTGACTCTTTCCTAGGGAGGAGCCCCTGGGCACCAGGCTTCCTGGGAGCTCTGAGCTTTTCTCACCCCTGAGGACCACTCTGCCTCTGCAGCCCTAGCTGCCTGATGGGCCCACCAGCACCCTCATCTGGATGACCTCATCACACCTTATTGAGCAGACACCCTCCTCAGCTAAGGCTTTGGTGGCAGCCCTGTTCTGGGGCCTTTTGGGGTCCTTGATATCCTGGGACAGCTCTGTTCACCATGTGACTGTGTGGACAGCCAGGCTCCCATCCTATGTCTAACACGCTTGTCCCCCACTGATGCCCCTCATCCAGATGGGGAGTGGCTCACTCTCATCATCATGGTATCCACTCAAGCTCACACTCGGTTCACATTTCCCTCTCCTCCCCAGGAGATCAGTGTGCAAGAAGCGTGAACAGAAGCCCTCTGTCCTCAGCTGGTGACCATGACCCCCAGCCTCAGAGGCCCCAGGGCTGGCAGCCCTTTGCCCGGGAGCAATGTTTACTGCTCCATGGTCACTAAGTGGGCAGGACTGCAGGGGTTGGGGGGACAGCAGAGCCCCTGGTAGAATCTCCCCGCTTCTTGTGCTGCCTGGCAGGGACAGCTGCCCACCCCTGCATCCCAATGCCTGGAACCCATGTGGTTGGCCATACCACTGAGGACCCAGCAGGGACATGGTGGCTTGGCCGAGGTGGGCACAAGTGTGGGTCTGTGCACAGCCCCACCCCACCCCCGTGCCTGGGGGAATGGCTAACCCAGGTGCAAACAGAGAGATGGTGTCCCAGCTCCCGGGAACAGGGCGCCTGTGTCTGTTGGGGACAGACAGGCCTCAGAGCAATGAGCCCAGAGCCAGCACGTCTGCCCACAGCAGCCCTAGGAGCTGACTGGCAGCCTGGAGACCATCCTGGGCTTGGGCCGTGCTGGCAGGCTGGGTGGGGCCAGCCACTTGGGATGGTGGTGGGGGCTTAGCAGGGGCAGCACTTGCTGGAATAATCAGGGACCCCACAGCCAGTAGATACCACCCCTTCATCCCCGTTGCCTGGGTCCTGGGTTCTTGCAGTGCTCAGCCCAACTGTGGGCTGTTCCCAAACCTTGCCCAGTCATGTGCTCCCCAGTCTCCCAGGGATCCCTCGGGGCCTGCAGGTGCAGTGGAGGTGAGGACGGGGCTTCAGCCCACGGTGGAGGACCTGGGAGCCATGGCCCCACAGCCCTGGCTGGAAGAAAAGAAGGGCCTAGAGTGACCAGAGAAGCTCCAGTGCAGGCAGCTTCCTCTCCCATGGGGCTGAAGGCCCCAGCCTAATGATAGCTAGAGGAAGTCAGGTACTGCTGTACATCAGGGAGCTGCAGCATTTGGTGTGGCTGCGGCCTCTGCCTGGTGTCTCCATCATCCCAGACGCTGCTCCCGCTTGATAGTCCCAGCCTGCTCCTGACTGTCTTCATGGATGTTCATGTAAGTGGAGCAACACATGTGGCCTTTAGAGACCAGGCCCTCACTGGTGATGTTTGCCAGTTCTATCCACACTGGCACTAGGCTCCTTACTCCTATCAACAGACGCTACCCACTGTGTGCACAGAACCATGTGTGTCTGTCTCCCTGTGAGAGCTACGTGGGGCAGTAGAATGAGGACACCAGGAATGCCTCGGGGTGGGGGGGTAGTGCTCAGTGTGGAGTTGAGGGTTCAGGGTCTGTTTGTGACCAGGATGGGAGCCATGGCAGGCAAGTATGTGGCCCCATCAGAAACCAGTTCTTGGGCCGGGGATGTAGCTCAGCGGTACTCCACCTGCCTGGCAAGTGCAAGATTGTAGTTCAATTCCCAATACCAGAAAAAAAGAAACCAGTTCTTGTAGCAGCCACTGGAATGGGTCCTATCCCTGTAAGGGAGATCCGATAGCATGGGACCCACTCCAGAGACCCTTTGGCTCTGACCCAGAGTGGCCTAGGCTTGCTCAGGGAGACGCCTCACCCCAGAGGGTTGCTCTGGAGGTCCACTCACCAGGACATCACAGCCAACCTCAGGTCAAGATGTGATGCATGCACAGCCTCCACCTTTTGTCAGCCATACAGCCCTGCTTCTCCCAGGCCCCAAGGGCAGCCACTATCCATCCGTCACCACTGTGCCACCGCTCTCCACAACACCGCCACTGCCGGATTGCCCCTCGCCAGGTCCTTCCACCATTCACAGCCCTCCAAGGCCCTCCTCACTGAGCACTTGCTCAGGGACACTGCCTGTCATCCCCTCCACACCTCTGCTGTGTTGGGACACATGGCCCTTGCCTCCCAGGCCAGCCACCCACTCCCTGGTCACACTCCAGGTGGGCAGCATTACGGCCCTGTTTGCAGCACAGTGAGCAGACCAGGTCTGCTGGGTAGCCCAGACCAGTGTGTTCCCTACCATGAAGCTCCAGGTAGAGGAGAGTTACCTGTTTCTAAGCCAGCCCCAGAGAGAAACTTGTGAGGAGAGGGGTGCTTAGATTCAATTTGGGAGCTTGCAGGGCCCAACAGCACTGGATGGCCACTATCTAAAGAATTGGGCACATTCTTCCTTGCTTACTTCTCCCACCAGGGAGCCATGTAAAGTATACTAAGTGGTCACCATTCTACTAGGAATGCTGTGCAGAAGGGTCAGAATCTAAGCATGCCCCACATGCTGACAACCCATTCAGTGTGTTAGTCTGTCTACTCCACCTCCCTCCCAAGGTAGGGGCTCCTCAGACAGAGGAACTGGCCCCTGGAAGAGCCACCTCCTGACAGGGACTCAAATCAATAGGCACTGTCCACCAGGCTGTAGCCATGTTCAGGGTGGCCATCAGCCCCATACAGAGCAACAGCTGGGCCAGGACCACTCTCTGTCCCATCCTCTGCTCCTGCTACAGCAGCCATGGGGCCTCAGTGCCCACATCACACCAGGAGCAAGGTCTGCCATGGCCCTCCATAAGCCAGAGGCTCTCTGCTACTTTGTCAAGAGGTCCTTTATTCACTTAAAGATTATTAAATGGAACTGAGGAAGCAGCCCCATTTAATAGAGAGCAAGATACCAAGGAATAAACCCAAACAAGGAGATGAAAGGCTCGAATAATGAAAACCACAAAACATTGCTGGGAGAAGTCAAAGATAATCTAAGCAAATGGAAAAGCATCCATATTCTTGGACAGGAAAACTTAAGATGGCAGTACCACCTAGTGGCCTATACAAGGCTCATGCAATGCCTGTCAAAATTCCAGTGGCCTGTTTTTGTAGAAATGGAAACTCTAGTTTTTAAATTCATGTGGAGTTACAAATAACGTAATAATCTCGAAAAAGAGGAATGAAATTGTAGGTCTCACACTTCCTGATTTCAAAACTTATTACAAAGCTACAACTATCAGAACAGTGTGGTACTGGCACCAAGACAGACACACAGACAAATGGACCAGAATAGAGACCCCAGAATAAAACCTGCACGTGTGTGGTCAAATGCTTTTTGACAAGGGCTCCAAGACCATTCAATGAGGGAAAGGCTACCTTTTCAACAAAGGGTGCTCCTGGGGAAGCTGGATATATCCACTGTAAGAGAATGAAGTTAGACCCTTCATGCCACAGAAAAATTAAATAGATGAAACTCCCAAACAAAAGAACTAAACCTATAAAATTCATAATAAACAGAGAAATCTTTTTTATACTGAATTTGACAATGATTTCTTTGAAACCAAAACATAGTCAACAAAAGAAAACATAAATTGAATGCTACCAAGTGTAAAGAGACAACATGCAGAGTGAGAAAGAACATGTAACTCACATACCTGACAAGGACCTAGTATCCAGAATATAGAGACCTCTTATGGATCAACTGCAAAAAAAAAAAAAAAAATACAAGGACCAGGGATTTAGCTCAGTGGTTCCGCCACCTGCCTTGCAAGTCCAAGGTGCCGAGTTCAATCCCCGGTACCAAAAAAAAGAAAAACACTGCCGTCAAAATAGGAAAGGACTTGGACAGGTCTTTCTTCAAAGAAGAAACACATGTGTCCAATAGCACATAAAAAGATGCTCAGCATCCTTAGTCATTAGGGAAATGCAAATCAAAACCACTATGAGATATCACTTCACCCCACCAACCATAGTTTTTCTTCAAAATGGAAAATAACAAGTGCTGGTAAGGATGAGGTGGGTTTGTAAATACAGCCACTGTGGAGGACAGTGGGTCAGTGATCACAGGACCCACATTCTATTTCTGAGCACCCACACACAACTGCAAACAGACTTAGTGGATATCTGTACATGAATGTTCAAAGCAGAGTTATTCATAACAGCCCAAACATCTACACGCAGATTGACAGACACAGTGGTATATTAGACAAGGGAATATTCAGCAACAAGAAGGAAAGAACCTTGATGTCATGCTCAGCAAGGGAAGCCAGACAGATGCAGAGACTCCCCTATCATATGATTTCATTTATATGAAATGTCCAGAAAGAGCCAAGTCCAGAGATAGCAGATCAGTAGAGCCTGGCCATAGTGACACATGCCTGTGATCCAGCTGAGGCAGGGGGATCACAAGATCGAAGCCAGCCTTGAGCAGGTTAGCAAGACAATGTCTCAAATTTTTAAAAAGGGTTGGGGTATAGCTCAGTGGTAAAGGGGTTGCCTAGTGTGTGCAAAGCCCTGGGTTCCATCCCCAACACTGCAAGAGCCAATCAGTATTTAGTAGGTGCTGGATGTTGAGGTAGGGAACTGTCCTCCCCAGTAGCAGAGCTTCTTTCAGGGGGTGAAAAATTGGTTATGATATGTGATCATTACACACCACTCTGAATATAGTAAATGCCACTGAATTGTTGACTTTAAAAATGCTTAATTTTATGTTAATGTCAGTCACCTCGGTTTTGGTTTGGGGGTTTTTTTGGTACCAGGGATCGAACTCAGGACCTTGCACTTGCAAGGTAGGTGGCGGCACCACTGAGCTAAATCCCCAGCCCACCTCATTGTTTTGGAATACAATAAAACACAGTCCTCTAAGTATCCCAAGGCTTGCACCCCTGCCATGGGGGACCAGAAGGCTTGCACTGCCCAGCAGTGGGATGAGGCAAACAAAGCACCCTGTCCCTTTTTTGCCAAGCATACAGGCTCATATCCCCCTAAGATCATTGCCCAGGGCAGTGACTCCATCATAATTAATGGGGTGAGGAGCATGGCCAGAGCCAGCCACGGCCACATGTGACCATACCTGGACTCCCTTCTACCTCGATAGGGGAGGCCCCATTCTGATGTGAAGTATCAGCTGGAGAATCATGATCTCAGCAGCTCTAGAAACAAGCAGGGTGATTTCTGGAAACACTAAACATGCACCACGTGTGACCAGCCACTCCTCTCCCAGGGACCTTCCCAAGAAGAATGAAAACAAAGATTTTTAAGATCCGTGTTAACAGCCAAACACCAGGAACATTCCAGCAGCAGAGCAGAGTTCTGATCATCAGACCTTCAGTAGCATGCACAGCTGAACAGAGATGAAGAGACATGCTGTGTGATCCCATCACGTGGAACTCCAGGGTAGAGAGCATGTCATGACTGCTGTGATCAGGATCAAACCAGCAGTCACCAGGGGCCAGGTGGAGGACAGGGTGGGAAGTGGATGAGGAGCCATCTAGGAAGTCAGGGACACTGTCTTGATTGCAAAGGGAGCTCAGGGTCCCTGTCATGTACCCAAGACTGCACAGCTTACATGAATAAATCGTCATGGCTCTCAGACAGAGCATGGCCACAATAGCTCTGAGTCCCACAGTCTGAACACTCAGCATGTAAGGTTTTGAGCTAATGCATCGTCACACAGAAGCAGCAAGATGTGCACATGGCTAACAAACACCTGTGTGGGGTTGACTGAAGATAAACCTAGAGACACCACCATATCTGAATAAAGAGACAATGATGCCAGCTGTTGAAATAGTAAGAGAAATGCTGACAGAAGTTCGAGGAGGCAGCTGTGCTACTGCCGTGTCCCAGAATGCAGCAGCTCCCAGAGTGCAGGGCAGAGCCACACTTACCTAAGTGTACCTCCAGAGTGAAGGGACAGTGAGTCACAGTGTGCTGCCGTGGTGGGGCAGCCATCCACACACAGAAGACCAGTGCAGGCCACCAGCATCTCCCTGAGCTCAGGCAGGCAGAACGCTCCCATGGGGCCATAACCAGGCCATGGTTATGTGGAAGGGACGTACTCAGGGCTGCAGTCGTGTCTGCCCTGACCCACTTTGTGGGAACTCTCCAAGTTCACATCTAAGTTTTATGTACTTTTTCACACTTGTTTCAGTTCACAATAAAAATGTGCAGATGGGAAACTTTTTCAGCTGTCCAGCATAAGTCTTGCTATGCTTGTCCAAATAGCATTGATTTGGGTGTTTTTCTTCCTCATCACTCTGTGGTTTTCCTGGTCTCCCATCCCTCCCTGACACTCTCTTGCTCTTTGGAAATGTCTGCTGTCCTGTGAGTTTTAAAAGGGGGGAGTGGCTCTGGGACAAGTAAGTCCTCAGAGGCCCATGTCACACCAACTGGCCTGGGAGCTCCAGCTGCCTGTCATTCTGTCCAGGTCATTCTGTAAACATCGAAGTTTGTTTCTCCAGGCCATAGCTTTCTGAAGTCAAAGTTGAGGCTGAGGATACCAGTGGCACAGGCTGGACCCACCCAAGGTGAACAAATGAGGCAAAGGAGCAGCCTGGTACCTTTGAGCAGAGTGAGGCCAGCATCTACCTGCCCAGGACAAAAGCCAGGAACATGGCCACCAAAGCCAACAGGACCAGGTGGGCCCCACACTGCCCTCCCTCCCATCCACCCTCAGACACCCACTTGTCCTCAGGAAAGGTCGCTGAGACCCCCTTGTGCTGGCTCTGCCTGGCTGCACCTGGGCACGGGGCAGCAGTGCCAGCCCTGCAGCTGCAGGCCTTTCTGTGGTGGGCACATATTTGCATCTCAATGGCCCTGATTAATATTTAAGGAGCCAGCTGTCCAAGCCACATGGAGAAAGAGGGTGAAAATGCCTCGTTCTTTTTGGGGGTGGGCTCAGGGAGCCTATCAAGTGGCTTCACCCCCACAGAGCTCTGGATGGAAAATTCGAAGTGCCATTAACCGTGATCAGGGGCTGCTGTGTCCTATCCACATCAACCCCCTGTAGTGGCTGTGCAGCTGCGGGGCCAGGATGGCTCCCTGTCTGTCTACAGTGCCCTCTCATCGCCCTGTCGATGGTGGACAGCTCAAGTGAGTGGTTGGTACAAGGATGAGCTCCAGGAGACAGCCTAGCCTGGGGTCACAAGCTCTGTCTCTGTTCCCCTGGGAGAAGGCTCCTGGTCTCATCAGCTTGCATCCCTCCCTGTGAATATCTGGACAGATCTCAGGTTTTGTCCCATCACTGGGGTGTCTGTTAGTTCCACCTAAGGATGAGCTGGTTCCCAGAACAATGCCACTGCCTTAGTTAGTTTTCTCTCATTGCTGAGACAAAATACCTGACACCCAAAGGTAAAGGGGGAAAGGTTATTTATCTCACAGTCTGTAGAACTTTCAGTCCATAGTTGGCTGGCTCCAAGGCAGAGTGACATATGGCAGAGTGTGTCACAGGGGAGAAACAGTTTGTTGCAGAAGAAGACTGCAAAAGCAACAAGGGACCTCAACAGTGTCTTTCTGCCCCTTTTATCTTATCCAGACTACTTAGGGAGGGCAGCACTCACCCTTAATCCTAGGGCCCTTGAGCCTACCATTGCACCATGAATCAATTCCAGCATCACATACTCTAGATCTAGCTGCCTCTGAAAAAGCCCCACCTGTGATCGCATGAGGCTTTGGGGGGACATCTGTAGTGGGCTAAATAGTGTCCCCAAAATTCACATCTACCCAAGGGCTCAGAATGAGACCTTCTTTGGAAATATGATGTTTGCAGATATAGTTAAAGATCACCCACCCAGGTGCTGCCCAGGGTCAGGCTGGCCCTTGCCAGCCTCCATTCTAGAGGAATGGAGTAGGCATAATCACCACTGCAGTGCAAGCAGCAAAGTAGGAAGTGTTGAAGATGTTGAGGATGTCCCTCAGGAAAGGAGGAGGGATAGGGCTGCCTCATCATCTCAAGCTAAGAGAGCCACATCTGTGCTCACATATGCACAGGCACAGGTTCACAAGGTGTGTGTGTGTGCACGTGTGCACACACGCACACACACACGTGCACGAGATGGGGGGGTCTATAATAGCACAGTCCTATAAACTGAATGCAAAATGTTCTGGAGACAGGAGTAAGGCACCTTGGCCTGAGCCTTCTGCCCATGGCCATCTACCACACCATAGCTGTAGCCTGAGCCAACACCTACAGAATGATGTGGCCGAGGGTGTTTTCTCACCTTGAGCCCCAAGCAATGGGCTCTGCTCCATCCAAAAAGCCACCTGGACCAACACATTCCACGTTTGGCCTCAGAAGGGGTTCAGGGCCTTCTCTTCTCAAAGGTAGGAACCTTGGCATCCTACAGCCTCTAGAACCCATGAGAAGAGACTCCTGGTCTCCAGGTACCAGGTAGCCTGAGGACATCTTAGCCTTACCCCCAGGCTCTGACCAATCCCTCAGCCTATTCTATTCCTGCAGCCCTCCATGAGGGGTCCCAGTGTCCACTGCTCCCCTCAGGGGACACAATGCAGCTGCAGAGCTACAGTGGGGCCTACTGAGACCCCACTGTACCAAGCTCAGATTCGTGCCTGTGTGGCGGCCCATTTGTCTCACCCACACACCAAGCAAGCCCCCTCCACTACTGGACGCTTGGACTATAGGTCCCAGTCTCCCAGCTGGCATATGCAGCAGGGCTCTGTAGTCTGAATGCTCAGAGTGCTTCTGGAGACAGTGGCTGATCCACA